TTTTTTTTTTTTTAATTCTTCTTGTTATTTCTGTGTCCAACAGGTACCCAGAGTTGTTGAAGCCGCCGGACACGTCGGAGTCACTGTACAGCGACAGGAACTCCTCGTACGATAACGTCGAGAAGAGGAACGAAAGGGAGGAAGCTGGAGACACCAGGAAGGACCAAACCTACGACTCTTCCGAATGGGAGACGCCATTGGAGACAGACGAAAGCGACGTGGAGAGAATGAAGAGGAACAAGAGCTTTAAGGAACGTTTGGACCCTCTTCTCTGTAAGTCTGTTCATTTGTTACATTGTCTTTATCACTCTAGAAAACAATAATATTTTTCAAGAATTCGAAATTTTGAAAATCAGGAAAGTAAGAGTGAAGATGAATACGCACACTTAAATTTTGGTAGATAAGGTAGAAATATAAATAAATAAAAGAATTAAGTAGAAAGCAGTGGGAAGTTCATAGTTCGAACAAACACGAGTATTTTTATATTTATGTCTAGCAATATACTTGCAAATCTCTAGCAATATGCATGCAAATTTTATAACGCACATAGCAACATAGAAGCAACTGAGAGAAACGGAATAAAAGACTGTGTGCTATGTATATGCTAATAGATTGCACAACAGTTGGCTTATCCAATGAAGTTCATGACCGATAAATAATGCAAATTTCTTATGCATCGTTCACAGTGCTGGATAAAATTCAAAAATGTTGATAAAAAATATTTTCAAATATTTAAAAAAATCACGCCACTACTAATTCAAAAATCAAGGCAATTCTGGAGATTGATTCGAATTAAAACAACAAAAAGAAAATTTTCCCAATAAATTAACTAATATACGTACAATTAAACGTTGGCCTGAAACACTCGCAATCAACAATATCAAGGATAATTGTTTTAAACTCACTTCGAAATAATATTCCTTTCAACTTGACAACTATTGATTATTAAATAGTTTACTATAACAATCTGTAAATTAATACCAAGTCAAAATAAATGTGTGGAAGCAAATTCGCTTAATATTTTTCATCATTATGTCACTCACCTAGATTCCGCAATTTCAAAGTATATAATTAATTTCAAAAGAAATTGAGATGAATTGCTACTTGTTGGTCCTCCTTCTAAGTTAATCATACAAACGCGTGTAGAACGTGAAATTGAAACATATAAAATAAGGTCATAGAACTATATTATTGTATTTTATCGACAACTGTCAGATGACTCACAGTCAAAGAACCATCGAAGTGCATTACCACGCGCGAAGCAAGTGCATCGGTGAAACCACGTCGAGAAGGTCACGAGTCACGGATGACACAAGCGTGGTCGATCGATAGTTCAAGTTTCAGAAAGAAACGATAGTTAATAAATTGTTTAACTAGCTGACTCTCGCGAACGAAACGAGATTTCGAAAATGGATTATGACGTTGCCGCGAGCCGATTTGAAAGAGAGAACGAAAAAGAACTGGTTAACAAAAGATTTAGCAACACGATCACGATACTCGTGCTTCGATTTCGTTGATCATTTCAGAAACGCTTGATGGATAATGCGTCTGATGTTGTGCTAACGATTACTCTCGTTTCTCATCTGGCGATGATAATAAGAGGATAAGAAGTTGACGATAAGTTGCGAGATGATCTTTGTCTGTGACACATCTCGTTCTTTAAGAAGGAAATGATTGATACCGAGGTTTGTCGATTGAGTTTCAAATTTTCATAGATCTAATATCTGCAAGTGGGATAGAAAATTGAAAAATTTGCAAGATGATAGCAGAAAAGATAATTCCGTGGGCTACTGTTGGAGATGATTTCATTGAACTTTAGTATAATGGTTGTTTAATTACATTAGTGATATATGACGTTGACGGAACGATTTCACGGAATTATAAATTTTGAGAACTCGGTTATTTTATGAAATATGAAAATTAAAATAGAATAAAAATTTTAAAAACACGAAAACTAATAGTCAAGTCAAGTCAAATCAAAAAATTAAAACTAGAAAGTTTGAACCTCAAAAAATCAACATTTATATTAATAATTAATTAAGTTCCAATAATTTGAAAATTTATGTATTAGTAAATCAGCAAACTAAATTGACGAATCAAGAAACAAAAAGAATAAATTAATAAACAGACTAGATCTGCACAGTCATGAATATTTACGAACATTCTCACATAATTACTAGATTAAAACTTGAATTAATTGATCTAGACAGATAAGCTGTAAGCTTTCGCTATCTTACTGTACGAGTAACAATAGAAAACGTATAGAAAATAATTTGTTCAATATTTATCAATGGAAAACAATTCAGTAATAAAATTATCCCTATACAAATATTTGTGAAATGCTTCAAACAAAAGATTAGTCAGTAGAGTGCAATAAAGAATCTTAATTTTAAGCAGAATTTTGACCTGAAATTACGATAAGTTCCAAACATTTAAAATCATTCATAAATCTCATTCAAGATAGTAGACAAACAGATTTTCCTATCTTTTTTTTAGAATGGAAAGCAATATCAATAGAAAATTCCAATAATTATAGGAAGAAGATAATATAAGAAATATGAGTAATGTAAATATGAGTAATGTATATTTTCAAATTTTCTATTCTTATGAAATGTTATCTATATTATAATATTATTTTTATATTGTTTGTAAGTTATAACATTTAAATCTAAGTTATAATATTTAAAATATTTTACATATTTAAAGAAAAGAGTAAAAATTATTTCGCATATATTATAGCAACCGTATCATTCTATAGAATGTGCTTACATTGAATTTACTATTAGATATTAACTATCTTGTGATTAACTAAAGCTCGTCGTCCCACGGTGCCCCGCTGGGGGAGTCTAATATTTTACTTGTCAACTAATTATCCCTACAGTTCAGTTTAGTGAAATAAAGGAAAGAAATTTTCACGATCTAAACTGAACTGTAGGTTGCGTAGTTCTTAGCTTGATGTCGTTTTACAAACATAAGTAGGTGATAATTTTTGTCAATACTTCCAAAAACACTTTTTCCATTACAGAATTCAATATTACAGCTTTTAAGTTTTATTTGGTTAAAATTTTACAATTTTATTGTTTTATAGCCCCTATTAATTTAAGGCAACAATAAATACTGTAATTTCTGCATTTTTTTTTTTACAAAATAAAACTACGTTTGCACGGTAGTTAATTGCTAATTTATAAGTCTGTGACATATTTATATAGAAAATAATTATATTGCAGTCAAAAATTAAATTGATGGTTTTTTTAAGAATAGCTATGCAAATAAAGAAGCGTTCACGTTTAATTCGATCATTTTCGATGTAGATGTAACGTTATTCCACAGACGAGGTCGGTTGAACTCGGAAACATACGAAATATCCTGTAACTCGCTCGTTTCGCTAGTTTGACCATTTCATCCAGTCGACGGAGAAAACAGTAACAGAAATGTGGCAACCATATGAGAGTTTTAGGTTTTGGCACTTATCCTTTCCTCAAGAAATCTGAAACTTGCCTGTGTCCCTTCAATTCGCTTTTCTTTTGTCATTATGCACAATACCGAAGGCAATTGGGTGAATATGTAGACTGCCTCACCGATTTTTAATGTATTGTGAAGATATTTTGAACTAACTATTTTTATTTTGAACTTTTCATCAACAAGTTCAGCGGCAATCAGAATGGAGGAAAATACGAATGAGAAATGTTTCAAACTGATGAAATCTTAATACTAACAGATGTATCGTTAGGTCATTCATATTTTATGTTTTTATCTCTGTTTTAAATTGTTATATTCCTTTATTGATGAAGTACCACCATGTTTAATTCAATAAATAATTCTCGAAACAAATCTGGTGGCAACACTGTCCATATTTTTTGATTTTGAATTCTTATCACTAGCAGTGCAAAATTTGCCTAAATCGGATGTGACGACACGAAAATGTGGTAGCCGAAAAATTACATTGTCACAGATTGTATGCAATGTCTATTCATATCGTCTATGCTTACACTATTAATGTTCAATCATATCTTCGTTACCTCGTTTCTTTCAAGTACTACAAGATTATCTTGGATCAAATGTGGATCGTTGAAATTGTGATGTCATTATGCCACGCGCTTCTGGAAGAAATACATAAAGTCAAATGCGTAATTTAACTATAATTAGCAATGAGTCTCAATAGAAGGAACAGCTTGAACAAGGTATTTCTTCGTACATAAAGAAGTTTATATATCTTCAACTTCATCTAACAAATATTGTCATGTTTATTCATACAAAAATAGAAATCTCATACAAATCTAAAAATTTGGGAATTCCAAATGGCTAAAAATTTGAAGAAAAATTTTTCAATTTTTAAACTTAAATCCCGCGTCGCTCGTAGAAGATCGTAAAACTTTACTTCAGCTTGAGGTGAATTTTGTTTGGCGAAGTTTCGTGATAGTTTCATCTTCGAAGGTTTATAACGAACGACAGACCCTATAAAGCGAACGATAATGGCTGGCTTTGCCAACAAATTGGAATAGTTTACGAGGTGTCGGTCGTTTGGAATAGCAAACTCTCGCGTGTTGCGCCTCGTTGCTCGCAGTCATCCCCCGAGCTTGAACCACGTGTTATACGAGGGGTTGTTTCATAGCGACTATGAGCTTGCGAATAATTTAAACGATCGTTCCAATGTTTCGCAGCTGGAAACATTTGATAACTTGACAACATGAGAGATGTGATTGAAAAATTTTTAAGTATTTAAGGATTTTTATAAATTCTGGATGAAAATTACTTATGTTAGTTTTTCTAGTAAAATTTGAATAAAATTTTCGTTCGTTAAAACAGAAGCACACGATCAAAGGAGTAATAGAAAAGAAAAGTGCATGAAGAATCACAAATAATATGTTTATGATTATTAATTATAAATAAATTACTTTCTAATTATCTCAAAAGATGGGAGATATTGATATATTCATCGTGGGCTAATTCGAGAGATTTTAATTGTTTAATTAAAAGAATTATTTGCTTTAAGAAACATAGAGAACAACTTCTTCTCCCTTTCAAATGAAAAAGGAAACTTTCTCTTTGTTTCCATCTCTCGTGAAACGAAACTTTCTGTAAGTTCCTCAGAGAACTCTTTGTGAAACTTTCTATCTTGTACAATCTTTTATTTTTTTTTTTCTTAACTCGTACACTACTCCAATACGACAATATTTGTCTACGAAGAAAAGTTCCGGCCGAGGTAAATGGAAGTAACGACGACAATAAGGATGAAAAGACATCATCCTCGTAATAGCGTGGAAACATTGGTCGAGATATAACCATTGCCGATGGCTTATCCATTCGGAGGACTTAGCTTAATACGTTGTAAAGTAAACAGGCTTGGCCACATTTGTTTTATTTGGAATAAAAACGAATTACATCCGTCTGCTTTTTTAATCACGTTCTCAAAGATGTGAGTGTGGGAATTCTACAATTCGAAATTAATGCGAACATATAAAATATCCAAAGTATTAATGCTTCGTCTAACACTTAATTATTTAGTTATAAAAATTTACTGATCTGATAATAATAGTATATATACTTAAAATTTTCTGCTTTCTATTCAACGTCATAAAAATTTTCTATTAATTTAATTAAATTTGATTGAAATTCAGCGGAGAAACAGTGAAAATCGCAAATCTTTAAAAACTTATTAAGAACTCATTAATCTCTCTATTTCCTTGGAAGATCATTGATCAGCTCTCAAGTCGAAGAACAGATAAAAAAGATATGGCAAGTTGAGTCATATCCAAATTTACTTCCCTCATTTGTAAACTCATTTATCGCCCCTCTACCGCCTCTTTACCAATACAGTGCACATATATAAGTTACCTTTCTCAACAGCGCTGACAATTGTTCAGTGTCGGTCAGTCCATCAATCGGTGCAGTTTCATGAGAACTAGCTCGCTCGATCAACTCAACTTACATCTTCGAGTTTCTTCAGCAATTCGGTGAATGAACATAGTGCTCGCAAGAAGTTGTTCGCGATGTTCAACAGTTTCTTAAAAGACTTTAAAATGTTGTGATTACCATTTTGATTGTGTTGTAAAAAGTTTGACGTGAACTGTCTTGTATCATTTGAATCGATTTCTTAACAGAGATCTTGAAGATCTTTGTTCTTCCAAAATTATGAAAATATTACAAAGAACTAACTAAGATATTATAAAATACTGAAATCTACAGGGAAAACGCATTCGTAATCAAACTTCTCAATTTATCAAAAAAAAAAAAAAATCATCTAGCTCTTTGCTATATCTTCAAGGATTATATTGAATTTCCATTCATCGTTCTCTAAAGATCAAGAGCAAAAGAGAAAAGTGTTCGTGGAAAAATCTTTCGCAAAGGGGGATGCGTATATCTGGCCGTAAGATTGCAGGGTCGGCGAGATAACCAGTCGACGGAGACGTTTAAAGCAGTTCTAGTTCGGGTCATCGTCGTCGACAATTTTATGCGGAATTCTGAGGCTGATAAGCTAGCCACCACGAGGAGTCCTTGAGAGCATTTCCTTGGATCAAACGATCCTCGCGTCAGATAGCTACGAATCCGATTAAGAAAAAAAGAAATACGCGAATAGAGAGCAGACTCGTTATACGAATCAAGAGTGTAATTCTGTAGAAGGGGATCGATATTGTTGTGAATGTGTTTTTAACTTGATTTGGATAGTTTATATAAAAGTTGAAGTCTCCTTTTTGAGATCAAAAAGTTGGAGAAGATTTGTACAAGAATACAAGAAAAAAACTAAAATTTCGAATTGCAAATTGAAATTCTATAAATTCAGAATTAAATTTTACAAACTTTGAATATAACATATATAACAAACGTTGAATATACTTCAGGAGAACCAAAAAGCATTTGGAAGGAGGAAATAAAATTCGAATTATAAATTATCGACTACATTGTGTCGAGCAAAACAAAGAAAACTTTGTAATAATTTGTGCGTTGAAAATTTCAGGAATATTGTGTAAAATTGAGAAAAGTTTTGAGGGTTTGCGGAACAGTATTATAGTTTCCAGTCAATACATTACGATGCAGTGGAGCGGGATAAAGTTTTGACAGATTTTTAATATTAAATACAAAATGGCGAATTGTTCAATGGAAATGCAGGTGATAACAACTGTTAACGACAAAAAAAAAAAGAATTTCTCTTTAAGCTCTATTTGCAACTTTCGAAGAATTTGCAAGAGCTTTCAGTGCATTTACAGAAGATTGCAAATGGTCTTTAAAAGTAAGAAGTACTTCGATAATTTTTAAACGTGTTTATAATTAGCTTATTATATGTATTTTTAAATATGTGTCTATAATTACCGAATATACTATAAATTCTAAATTTGAAATTATTTAAATCATGAATTTAAAACCATTAAATAAATTGTTTTATAATTTAAATTATAATTTATAATTTAAATTATTAAGTATTAAATTTAATTAAAATTTTTGTTAGCAAATTAAAAAATTTGCATAGCCAAAGAACTTTTCCACAACGATGTGTTAACCGATAATAAAACAAAAAATAATAAAAAAAAATCAAATTACTATATAATCTTTATAATTACATATACAGTGAACAGATAAAGTCTCTTTATCATGTTTTCAACACACTTTAGGCACTTATTTAATAGTTCGATAAGATAATTTTATCTTTAGGCACTTATTTAGTAGTTCAACGATAATAATCTTCGCGATACCGCATCTATTTACTAAGATACCGAACTAATAAAGTTTGAATTAAATACTAGTACTAAACTACGAGAAAGTAACATCCCTCTAATATGATTGCAATGTTCACTCTTCATTCGTTATCCATTAACTAAACTCCTATCTAAACATTTACTTCTCTTTATCAATGCTCGAATCGTTATTCTCGCTTTCACCAATAAAATTAAATTGTCATTTTGATCAAACTTGAATTAACAATGAATTATGGTTGCCTACACAATTTTATATTTTCATATTAAACAATAACCTGTTAAATATTATATTAAACGTTCTATTGATTCTTATATCCGTACATTTGATCTATTGACAGGCCATCATCATTCAGAAATCAATTTCTCACTATCAAACCTGAAATCGTCCTAATCGAATTTCTCTTTGCTCCACAGCTCCTCCAAGGTTGCAAGCCCTCAGGAACCGCGATAACACGGGCACAGGCTCCACCATAAGGTCGTACGCCCTTCAACTGGCTGCCGACAAGACCACCACCTTCTCGCAGAATATCGATAATTTCATTCAGTGCACGAAGGAAGGGAAAGAAGCTAGTCCGCACGTGGTTATGAGGAACATAAGACAGTTCATGTCCGGGATGAAGAACTACCTGGTGAAACACGGCGAGAGGGAGTTCGAGAAGGAAGTGGAGAAAGAAAGGATAAAGCTGAAGCCGAATGAATTTTTGAACTTGGACGCGATTTTGGAGGGCGTGATGATGAGCCTGGTAGTGAGGCCGCTCAGGGAACATGTTTACAGACTGTTTATCGAACATTACGTGGCCACTGGCTCGTTGCAAACTCTCGCCGAGAACATCCAGCACGCCCAAGGGAAACATATTCAGGATCTCGGTGTTCGAGTTAGTAACTGTTTGTCGAAATGATTATTGTCTGGCGAATGGGAATTGTTTGTTCTTATGGTCGCATTGGCGATAGTGGTTCGACATAGCGAGCAGTTTAGAGAGCCTGTTCTAATCATTATTTTCATTGTAGATGCTGCAGTTTCGTTTCTTGTCACTTCTAGGTCAATTATTAGTTGGTTCAGTTGGATCTTAACATTTCGTTACTTGCTAAATTTTCTTATGGCAAAAATTTTATTCTTGCGTGGATCTTTATTTGTAACGAGTTGATTGAAATTATAGGTAGAAATGATTATAGTCTGGTGAATGGGAGTTTCGATACAGTTCATTCTCATGATCGAAAATAGTTTAATAGTAAAGAGATTCATTCCAATTATTTTCTACGATCATAGTTGCTGCAGTTTAGTAAAAATTTGATTTTTCTCTTTTTTTTGGATTTTAATCTTTAATTGCTTGAGTTGAATTGTAGATAACATGAATATTTATGCAATTTCATACATCTATTTTATATTCAGATGAAGAAACGGAATCTAAGCAATTTGATTTACATATTAAATTTTACATTACACCTAGTAAAATATCTGTTCTCTCTTCGAGAATTGAATAAAAGACCAAAGCAAAGACTGAGAGTAATAATTTTATTTATTTTGATTTAGTTTTTGATCCAAAGAGAGAAAAGCTTTGATTTTGGTGTGGCGAATTTTCAAAATAGTGATCCTTTCTCTAACTACTCTTACTTATGTAATTACTGATATAATTTCAGTGTACCTAATTTATCCTATTATAGACTAGAACAATCAGAATCTAGAAGTTTATAACTAAAAGGCCTCAGATTCTTAAAATAGATTACAATTTGTGTCATTAATAAAATTAAATTTAAAAGTGAAATCAATTAACATTGCTAATATTCTTGTTTACAGCCAAAGATCATACCCCCATCGGAAGCCAGTTTAGAGCTGATCCTCAAGTACATCGATCGACTTCAAAAGGCGGATTCACCTCTGGATAAGTTGGAGAACCTTCTCGGAGCCATTTCGGCGATCTTCAATTCTGTAAGTCGCGCTATAGTCTCCTCGTGTTAAGTTTGTCATTTTCTTTTCAAATTCCTTTAATTTATAATGAAACTCTTAATATTAATAAAATTTATAATAAAATTCCCTCGAATGATTGTAAAGTTAATTTTCTGATGAACCACACTACATATGAAGAACATGGGTGAAACTTTAAGAACAAAATTTTATATCTTAAAGAACATAATCTAAAGTAAACGTTACTGTGCATTCTTGCAGTTTCAAGTTTCTTGTATAAGTAAATAAAAATCTATAGTCTAATTGCAACATTAGCTTTGTAAAATATTTTATAAGTTCATCTATTTTTTAAAAGATTGGAAATTGTAAAGCTAGAGGAATCTGTAAAGCTTTTTCAAATAAATCCAGCTGCAACTTAGTATTGTTTCTGTGTAATCTTCATATGGAATGATTCAAAGTTCAAATGTTTTGTTATAATATTTCTTATCCAGAGTAACTTCTTTCCAGGTGAAACACGCAAATTCCGGTAAACACGTAACGCTGGGCGCCGACGACCTTCTTCCTCTTCTAGTTTGGGTGTTGGTTCGTGGCAAGGTTGTGGCCGCTGAGGTGGAGGCTGAGTACATGTGGGGTCTGCTTCATCCCTCTCTTCTCACTGGCGAAGGGGGATATTATCTGACGACCTTGTCGAGCGCAGTTCACGTTTTGAAGATGTTCAAGTCCAGCCAGGGAACGATGTCCACTTTAAACGTAAGTGACTTCGCTGACGCTGGTCTCTGAAGCATTAATACAGTTTCGATCATTTTTTAACTTACATTAACATATTAATAATTAGTATCTTTTTCAAGTACAAAATGTTAGTGTTTCTTTACATTTAAAGAATATATTAATGTATTACAAGTAATTATTTATCATTTTAATATTAATGCACGATTACGTTACTAGTAACAAATTAATGTGAAATATGTAAAGAATATTAAGTTTAGAAACTATTATTCGAATGTTTCAGGGTTGTGGAACACCAGACTGTTCATCCGTACTACGAATCTTAGTACCAGATGAACTGCACGGATCCCTGAACACCAGAACGTTGCCTGTACGACCAAATATGAACACCAGAGAGATTTGTCGCATCCTCGCACATAAGATCAGGTGCACTAACCCCCAGGACTATGGATTGTTTAAACTGGTACAAGGGGAAGGTAAGAATTCATTTTATCAAAATTATACAAACATGAGAAATTTTATTCTTAATACCTTTAGATATTTTAATAGATCATTAATCTCTTATTAATCTTGAAGATATCAGAATTTATACAAATTTCTTCTAAACGAATTTGTGTAGAGACAAATTTAATCCAAAGTACAATTAATAACAAAGGATACACAAAGAATAAGTTATTATGCACGTGAACTATATACTTAAGAAATTAGCAAAGTAGCTGAAGAATGATTAAAAAGCAACTACACAATTACAGCATTAAACGATTAAAAAAATATATATATATAGAATTAATTAAACTACCATTTACTAACCTGTGCTATCATGATGGTATAAGGTCGAAGAGGTATCATGTGTATAATTTAATTATTCTCTACTATAGAAACCTTACTCGGTGACCACGAATGTCCACAAGAGCTCTCTCACTGCCTTTTCGCTTACAAGCGGATTGACGCGAAGATCGCCTGGCCGAAGACCAGTTCTTAATCTTAGGACGAACGACGAAACTAACGAGTTTGAAGCATCTGTTCTTTGCTCTTGTTAGTTTTATTGCTAGCAACGTGTTTTCCTTCCGATCGCCACATTCTTCGCACTCTTACACATAGCGGATTCGCAATAAACTACTGAATTGTTTTCTAATCTCGAGCACAAAAACCTCTTCGGTAACTCTTAGGATATATATATTTCAACACTGCCAGATGTAGACAGCTTTTGATTGACGTGAAAAGAACAAAAGAAAAGGAAAAAAAAAAAAGTTCCCTTGAAAGCGACCAAAGTTTAATTTAAGAGAAACGATTATTAAATCTTGTATTCTTTTATTCGTAAATCGTGTTAACACTATGAGGATCGGTGTAGCGTCGTGCAATTTTTAGTAATCGTTTAGTAATCGGTGACGTGACTGTGGCGTCATGTAAGTTTCAGCATTTAATGGTCTATGACGATGCAATATATTATATAGCGTCAAGTGATTTTTTAACGGTTGTAAATTATTTTAACGAAATGTGCTGGCTGTTTGTGAAAATCATTCCTGACTGGCTGCCGGTCGTTGTAGTGTTAATCTACATCTATATTCTCTTATATATCCGATGTTTGAAATTACTACGATCGTCAATAATTTTTATTGGTCGCTTTTTAACACGTTGACTGCCGCGCAAAAATTTATTTGTCGTTTTACCTATGGAGTATTTAATTTTTCTAAAATAATATATTACGATAACAGTGCAATGGAAGTGCTTTTTTTTCATTTTATGGTATGCATCATTTATAATATTTTTTCTAGTGATGTTCATCATCATTCTAAAATTAATGATCATCGTGGTGATCATCGTGGCAGCCAATGTATTAACAGGCAGGTGCTGGAGCATCGAATCGGCTGAATGGGATGATCGATTATCGGCACTGAACAAATTTCCGCCGAACGACCGCTTCTTATTCGCGAACAAAACGAGATGAAGGATCGTGTATTACTCAGTATTCTGATATTTTGCGAAATAATAACACTTCGATAATAAAGCTATCGATTAAGTCTCGTCGACGAAGTAGATTTCGAATTGGAGAAATTGGAGCATTCTTCAATCTCGAAATCTACGTTCCACGAGAGAACAATATACGTTTTTTATGGGATGAAGTCGCTGAAACAGAGCAACCAAATATCTCTGTAATATTTCCTTAGGTAGATGAAATTATTCAATTCCCTTCTTCAAAAATTTGACGTATTTTAAATTTCAAGTATTTTTAAACAATTGACGATGCCATTTTGACACTAGGACTCTACATCATTACAATTTAAATGATGACGATTAAAATAAGTAGATCTATGCAATCAGTGTCAGTGTTTAAACAGAAATCAATATTACATTAAATCTTGAAATTAAACCTGAAATTCATCGTATTGACAGGTTCGATGGTTCTGGTGTTAATATTTATATTCGTTTGTATATTTTTCATTCTGTTCTACGTTTTAACAACGTTATGAAAAGATCAATTTTCATCTCGAATGAATTGTTTATACACGTGCAAAGGAGATCAGAGAGATATCTTGGATGAACTTTGTTAGGGGTGATTCAAGCCTAAAGTATAACCGAATAAAAATCATCAGGGGTGGGAACATCCCTCTCGATTACAAATTTAATATTAGACTTAGGAGCACGAAAGGCTAGTTTAGACTCTATTTTAAGTACTTTCTCGACGAGACGTTGGCGGATTATAACAAGCAATCTGTACTTTTAAGCGGACGTCGTATATTTATTGGGAAGTTGTACACAATATTTTACTATCATCATTCGTCGGATGTTTCCTTTTTTGTGTCGCGTGTGTGTACAAGCGCGCGTGTCGCTTCTTCCTTTCTCCGAATCTGCCAGGCTGATTTGCTCACCTAAATATTATTATAAAAGG